ATAATAATATTTACCTGGTAATTTCTTAACTCACTTCTTCTTTGTCTTATGGACCATAATTTTGGCTTTTATAGTAGTGTCATAAGGCAATTGTTATCATTTTAGAACATCAATTCTTTTATTTTTACTAGTATTCCAAGTAGGAGGAAAAAGAGATTGTAAACATTTATTTTCTGTTATGCTGCTTAAACCCTTATGCAATTAGTATTATTCAGACCAATAGCAAAAATAACAAAACTTATTCACTATTAAAACCTTCCTCAATGACTCTAATACCAGGTCTGGGGCTAGCATAACCAACTGGGCAACTTTGTGTTACCAAATCCTCAATCTTGAGGGAATGTGGTGTGTTTTTCAATTGAGGTCTCAGTATAAATTCTTATAACCATTTTAGAAGCTTCCAGCCTTAGAGCTTATTCACCTTTCCTGCATGCTCAGCTGATGGCCTCAGACACACACTTATCCCAGACATGGCTATCTTCTTACATTTCCTTTAAAGAGATAAAATATGTTTATTGAGATAGGGCTACCATTAGTGAAACTTGTGCAATTGCACAGGTTAGGAAAAAGAGATTTAGAGGTAACACTAAGCTTCATATGCAACTTGATTTATTTCTCAGCTACCACCATCATAATTTTCTCTATTTTGGCTGTGCTCCATTTCCTACATGTTACTACTAACCTGAGAAGGACAGTTTAGGAGTACAAAAAGGATAATACATATATATATGTGTGTGTGCCTGTGTTTGTGTGCATGCATGCTTATTAAAGAATATCGAGCCCTTGAGGCATAATTCTCTAAAAATGACCACAAAATTTATATCAAAGCATTTCTACTATTTAGTGAACTTGGTTTAATAAGGCTTCTTAGATATCCAGTGTGCTGTTGTCTACGTACACAGAATTTTTTGGTTTTGAAACATTTGCCTGTCAATAGATCATATTTTTAAATTATTTTGCACAGATGTTGAAAGAATATGCCAAGTCTTACACTCCCCTGAGTGCTCTTCTATAACCACCAACAATGCTGCAAAATTGCAGATTCGGATTAGAAAGCTTGTTGTGGCCTTAGGACACTTTTCTCTTACAATCTCAGAAGAGATATCACCTGTACTCTCTTGTGCATTATATAACATTACAAAATTAAGAATCCATGTGCATCATACAAATCATTGATAGCTTTATCGTATTTTAGTAGATGGGAATTCTTTTAAGTGGAATTTATTTCCTTTGGCACAACAGTGAAATGGGGATAAATCTTCTTGCTCCATTACGTGTTTGCCCGAAGGCAAGTTGCTAGGCTGCAGAGAGTGTGTTGGGGCAGAATCATTCCCCTTCCTACCAAAAACACACTCGACTTCATTATATATCAAATATAGTTGTATCCTTTCCCATTCTTAAACCCTAAATAATACATAAACAGCCAAATTAAAGCATTAGATTTCTGTTGTTGCCAAAATTTACCAGATAATTGTTCAACTCGCCCCTTAGCTTTGACTGTTTAGACAAGGAATTTAAATTTCACTGTAGAGACTAAAATATTCCAAATGAGACACAAGGGTAACAGGTGAGAACTATTTGAGGACAACCTCATGTCTCCAAAAGTTTCAAAAATAATTATAAAGAACATCAGTAACCAAAGGGGCATTTGAATAATTGTCCCATCATATAGCAAATACTTACTCGATGTTTATAAAAGAAAGTATTTTTCCCCTAGATTTTTATCTTTTTAGTTAAGTTGGGAATCAATGGAAATGTCATTTTGTAATGATTATTTTATAAATATGTTAAGGGATAAATTTATATAACTGTTGCAGTCTTAGGCTACTACAAAGCAAGACAAAGAATCCAACCTTTATTATAATTATTATTATTATTGATTTGGAGCAGTGGTAATAGCAGAGTCAAGTAATTTAATAATCAAAATGAACACAGATAAAATAAAAGAGCACAGAGTTAGTTTGTTCCAAAAAACAAAAATTAAATTGAGTACCTACCAATATCTTATTTGTATTAAAACATCTGCTTTTTCATGGTTGTTACTTGGAAAGTAAAAGTTTTAAGAGATAGCTGGGTTGATCTTCCTTGGACTAGTTATTATTCGTTATTTGGAGGGACCGCAGCACTCAAGAGTGGTGGCCTTACCCATGGCTGGCCTCATCTTTCTTGAGTAAACATCCAAACTCTCCTTATAAAAATGTCTGAGTTCCTAAAACATTTATCCAGAGGTAACTGAATTTTATTTGTTATTTTGTAGGATAGCTTTCATTTCATTGGTATTGGTATTTTAAGCAATGATTATTTTATTAGCAATGGTACTTATATAATGATATTTCACTTTCAGATCACTAGGTATCTAAAATTGTTAAAATGAAATGTCTTTCAAATAATTTTATCTTTTTTTTTTTTTGGACCGGTAAGGGGATCGCAACCCTTTGCGTACGGTGTG